TATATTATATTATATTATATTATATTATATTATATTATATTATATTACTTGTATTGTCTGAGAGGCTTTTGTGTTGTTCTGTGATGTTCCTATTTAGTCAAAATTGTTTTATCTCTTGTTTTAATTTAGCCTAGGATCTGTCGTGTTCATTTTTTATTGTGTTTCTATTAGTGAAGACTTTTAAGTGGCTTTATGTTGTTATTGTATTTTCCTATTTTAGTTTTTAGCTGTAAGTGTTCCTTGTTAAATAAATAAATAAATAAATAAATAAATAAATAAAAATAAATAAAAGGGGTATTAATATGTAATATATAAATTGTAATCATTTTTGTGACATCAATATATTCGTTAATACGAATTAGTGTTTTATATTAAAAGGAAAATTTGTTTAAGGGCAACTTTGATTTGTGTTTTTTGGCTCTCCTGTAAAATTTTGTATAAAGCTCTTACTAGGTTTTGCTCTGGGGCAGCTGTTCTCCTTAAACATAATTGTAAGTGGGTAGATAGTCCAATAAAAATATATTTAAGCTAAAGAAATATTTTCGAGTAGTTATGTGGCTCAGACGCGTGACTGCGGCGGCGGCGCTGCTCTGGGGCGCTTAGGTAACTCTAGGGATTCTCTCGCAATTCTGCAACATAATAAACCATCAGCTTTACAAATCGGCCACTTCTATTTCATATACAAAAAGAATTCAGCAGCTCCAGTATGATTTACTGCCTCCGTGGCCGAACGGTTATAATGCCGGACTGCCATGCAGAGGTCTTGGGTTCGATTCCTAGGCCGGGAGAAATATGTGTATGGCCTACATTTATTTCTCTCGTGAGTTTGGGTGTAATTTGTGGTTGTTTATGTTTGTGTCCATGGTACCCGCGACACAGGGTTTCCCTAGTGCGGGGCTATGAGTGTATGCGTTTGTGCGTTTATTGGACAGTCTCAGTTCGTAAAATCATGTTTTCTTCAGGCTTGCGCGTGGGCCTTATAAAATGTGTCTATAGAATTCAATTTAAGGGGTTAAGTAAAGTTACATAATTAAAAAAGTTCAATTTAAGGGGTTAGGTAAAGCTACATAATTAAAAAAGTTCATTACTTCATATTTCTTTTTAATTAAGTTTTTTGTCACCATACTAGGTACATTGTAGTATCAGTTAGGTTTAATAAGTAGGTACGTGGAATGCGAATACCAAATTTCTACTCGAATTACAAAGTGAGTAAAAATTAGTGTAGGTACAAACAATCAATCGTTGCAATTTAAATCTTTTGTTTATTATAATGATGATGGTATTGAACGCAAAGAATAAGTACAACACAAGTAGACAGGTAGGTCCTACTCAAACATGTTACGCGCGTGCGTAATAATTGCGGTCGGTCAATCAAGACTGAATGTTTGAAAAAATAAGCACTCACGAAATACTTTCTCGATAGTGAATATAAAGTAATTACTTTTAGATTAGCGGACAACCTACTGACCGAATCTAACACACTTTGCTTATATTGAGTAAGGGTGTGAATAATTTGTCCACTTGACATAATCCAGCACAAGTGAGGGCCCGACTCTTCCCTTGCACAGGCAATAGCGCAGTGTTTCGTATGTGCGGTTCATAGGTTTAGAGATCCATGCTCAGGGTATAGGGACTTGATATTTGTTTTATTACGATCATAAAACTGGGTTCATAATCGAGACCACAGATAGATCTATGACAATATATCAAATTTAAATCTGATAGCAATATAAGAACCGCACATGCAATATACAGTTGCCATTGTTGACCGAAGTAGCTCGTCGACTAAGTACTACGATATTATTAAGAAACCTGTGTCTGGGGTTACAAGAAGTTCTTTCAGAATATCTAGGTACTTTGTGGAAAAACCGGGAAGCGCCATTGGTTATGAAAACCGACGAGGTATTAGGTAGGTATATGTCAGATGTAGGTACATTTTATTATTAATATTTTAAGTACATATATGTATATCAATTTGACTTCATTTTTCGTCGTTGTTCTTAGGAAAAGCAACTGGTACCTCTACAAGTAGATAACCTTCTGTTTTAAAAAAAAATATATATAAAAATTTATAAAAAATCATCAGACATCGGGTGCCTTTATAACTCGTGACGGGTTCAATTATCGAACTAACAATTTATTTTGTCCTGAATCGTATGAAAAATCGTAAAAATGCAGTGTAGTGCAGATCGAGGTAGCGTGAAAACTGGGACGGGGTGCACTTACACGTGCAATAATAGCTCGGCGTGCACTTGTAGTTAAGTAAATGTTTCAAATTGAAACATTTAAGCTTATTGTTTGAGCGACAAAGAGTCGCGCCCGTGCAGCTGCGCAAACAACCCTCACTTGCTAATGCACCCGCGACCGCGCCCGTGCCAACGCGACGTCACGCCGTCACTGTTTCGCGCCCGACATTCGATTCTTCGCGCACTATAGGTAGGTACATACCTACCTGATAAATCTAAATTAATACGTACATACATATACTCCAATCGGGGTAGGCAAAGATCACAGCTTTCAGAAAACCACACTTTTATTATAATTATTGTTAACTGCTTTGTAAGTATAATGCACACACTGAACTACACAAGTATATCAATCAAGCGGGCGTCGCAGGTGGTTGTGAAAAGCTGTAGCGAGCATCGGGTCGGGGGTGGCCAGGGTAGATATTATCGAAGCTTTATCAACGCTATTTGATTATCATCTCGGGTCGACCACGTGTGCGCCATCACATCTAATATTTAATTAAATTATCGGCCATCACTGCGCGCAATCGAGTATATAACCAGAAATAGAGACGAAATAAGGGCCATATATTTCTGGTAACACATTAACGATACAGCTCTTATAAGTAGCAACTCTCGTTTGCACTGAAATATAGAAAGGCCAACTACTGACCTGCGTATACGTCTCCACATATTCCAAAGCGTATTCTGTATTTATTGTAATAAAGATAATATCTCTAACAATGCCGTTCTGTTCTATTCGGTGGTGTGGGAAAAATAGCAAAACATCTAATTACAAAACAAACGGAATCACATTTCATCGGTAATTAAATATTAAATATGTAATTTTGCAATTCTCGTCAATTATAGCAAAGCTCAAGTCAACTGGTCGATTTGAAGTGAAACAGTCGACGACACCCGTCAATTGTTTCGAATTCGGGCTGGCCAATCGGAGCGCAGTTGTCACAGTAATAATTTGGCATAATAGTTTTCAAACAAATTAAATGACATTTCGTCTCTATTTCTGGTTATATACTCGATGCTGCGCGCTTACGTCGGTGTTCCTGCTTGAAAAAGACATGAGTGCCTATAAATTAATTTATATAGCAGTGTTATCTTTAGTGAGGCAGAGTGGGGGCGTATTATGAACTTTTAAAAAACCATGCGAGTTCCAGGCAATTCTTTTTACGCCCAAAAACTGACTGGATAAAATTCGTATTACGACACATATTTTTCGCTGACATTTTTCGCTGACTTCTCGCTGGTTATTTTGTCTATGACTGAGACGTGACTAGCTCGCTTTTTAGTGTAACGTTCAAAAACATGGATGAATAGTTACCGGTAAGTTACGGTGTTATATTTGTCATTTAGTTTAAGAGAAAAATAGTCAATACGAATTTATTCATGAAAGAAATTATTCATGAACGAAAATAAATAAAGACACTATATAATAATAATAATAAAGACACCATAAAATAAAATCAATACACTATATTTTAATTTTCGTAGCTTAGTAAGCCGTGTGGTTACTAAGCTACGAGCTACGCTTTTAAGGTCGGTACAGGAGATAAACTGTTTAAAAATTACGTTTACGTAACGTTTAAACAAGTGTGAAACGGAACATACTTCGCTGATACGAACCCACACACGTAAGCATTGTGGGCACTTTAAGATTATACAATTTGTCAAAATATCTACTTTATGGAAAATTGTACCTTAGGTACTTCATTCACGTAGCGCTCTAATTTGCACTATAAAAAGTTATATTTTTACAGACTAACGCAACGTATCCACGTGAAGTAGGTACCCACTGAACACGGTCGGATTGGCGCTGAGAGAGAAAATGCAAGATCTACTTACTACGTTCAAGTCCTGTCACACAAACTGTACCTACTTAGTAGGTATTGTATTATTTTGTTTTCAGGATATAAGTAGGCAGTTGTGAGTATAATATTTTAATCAAGAGTCTGCCTATACCTACAAAGGTATAATGTATTTTGCCGCAATAACAATCACTTTACGGTTAGGCGTCGCGGACAGGTGACACGTGTTCGCTCTCGACTCGCGCACTCGTCGCCGTTTAAAATATTAGTAACAACAGAATAAAGCTCTTAACGAACGCGCCCCGCATTAGAACCGTATTATAATCTCATCACGCCGAATCAATCTTAATCGGTCGCGACCGCAGCGACCCCTCGACTCCCCTCGGCCACGCCGCGACGCAGGCGGGCGACCCTACTGCGCGGTCATAAGGCCCGTTACGAGCGCTCGGGGCGAGGTCCATCCACCGGGGGTGCGATAGCAGATACCGCAAAGCGACGGACCGAGGCAGAATTAATGTGAGTAGTATACGCGCAGAAGCACACCGTGGCGAATGCGCGCGTGGTGCGGCAGGGGAGGACAATTAGCGGCGAACACGTGCCGTGCGGCGCGAATCACCCTTGGCCTGCGCCGCGTGCGCGCCACCTGCGTCGCAGCAAGTGCGTCAAAGGCCATATTACGCACCGTCCTCCTCCTCTTCTCCCTGCAGTGAGGGCAGCGAGATGGCATCCTCCGAGGGTACGCGGTCGGCCTCTCTTTCACCTGCCGCTCGGTACAGCTCCGCGCGCGCCTCCACCACATCGCGCACGATCTCTGCAAATAGGTAAACGGCATGAGCCACCCGTCGCTTATCAGTTGAATGTCAAGGCGCTCGTTCCACACCCGCCGCTGTAGTCGGCGCAACCTTGTAACCGTATAAATGCAATGAAGTTATTGTTAGCAAAATCGGGTCAAATACGGGGCTAAACACGCTGCGTTCTCTAGAGACGTGACGACCTCGAAAATGCATTGTACGTATATGTTACATTTTCAGGATGGCAAAACGCACGAGCGGCGCGTATAAACGTGAGAGGGGCTCACCCGTAATGACATCGCGGCTCGTAATGATCGACTCGATCTCCTGCGACACTTCAGCCACCAGCCACGGCATGAACTCCTCGTCCACGCCTGCAACGGAAGGCCGCCGTCACACTGCGCTCACGCCGTTTGAATGTAATCCCTTACAATGGTGGGCGACTCAAAAGTACAATGACACATTGAACGAAAGGGGTAGGTATTCAAGTGAAAACATTGAGCAGCGACAGCGGGTAAACACCTCTCTCGATGCGCTCCATGAGGTAGCCCTGGTCGCGCAAGCCGGCGAGCACGGCCGGCAGCAGCTCGGCGACGTAGCCCTGCACCAGCACGGCGGCCGCGGCGCGCTCGCGGGCCTCCGTCGCCGCCAGCTGCGCCTCGCGCGCCTCCGCCACGCGGCGCTCCTGTCGCGGAGAAGGCCCACTTTTACCTCGTCTTTGCCTTGCGGGCCTGCCGCTCCGTTAAGTCCAGAAATGCTTAAGAAGCATCCATTGCGAATTGTCAGCGTCGTGTCGTACGTCTGCGCCGAGAAGGACATACACTCCTGAAGTATGCACCTACCTACTTACTTACAGATAATATCCCTCATATATAAAAAGAAATAACATAGATAGATAAGTAGTTTAAAGGATATCGAAGAATGTGTGTGCGCAGGAGAGACCTTTTCCTGGTGCAGGCGAAGGTCCTGCGCGGCGAGCCGCTGGCGCTCGGCGCGCTCGGCGTCGCGCAGCTCCACGTAGCGCCGCTGCTGCTCGCGCAGCGTCGCCAGCTCCTCTTCCTGCGCCACCTCCGCCAGCGCCTGCTCTGTGGTCTTGCCCACTAGCACCTCCAGGATCGGCTGCACTTCCAGGTCGAAGTCGAACAACTACACAACACGACGTTGTCTATTGAAAAGTTTAAAAGTCTAAGTGCTACACTATCAAAAGGCACGTATATGTTGGCAGCTACTCACGTCGCCGGGGTAGATTTGCGTGGCGGCGTCGGCGCCGGTCTTAGCGGGCACGTACAGTGGCGTCGAGGGGCGGTCCATGAATAGGTCCGTCTGCACGCCTACGTCCATCTCCACGCCTTTGTCGAACAGCTGATGTCAAGCATCATTTTAAAGTTAGCAGCGTTGCTGTTATCGCGATTAAAATAATTTTTCGTCTAACAAATATTTACATAATTAATAATTTCAACAAGTCAGAGGGTAAACCCACGAACCTTTCTGTTTAGTATGTAAGAAGCTATATTGCGCGGCTGCGCCCGCGATATTCACCTAATAATAAACAGCAATGAATTGTAAAAAAGACTAGGAAAAATGTTGTATACGTGATTAAGGAAAGATTGCGTTACAAAACATCAAAACCAATTGATATTGTATAATAAAGGGGCGGGATCAAACGTAGACAATCAGAGACCGGGTGACAGTGCCGTTTATATGTACGAGTATAAACATAGTGGAACGGATTCCGACAACGTCACAATTTCGCACTCGCCGCATACGAGAAGTGATGAGGTTGTGCCTGCTTCACCAAGAGATGAGAATATTATGTTCTCGCCATCAACGATGGGTCACGTCACACCACAGAATTCCTTCTCGCCGTACAGGGTGACGACAACAAGAGGAGTTCGTCTGCCGCCTTCATCGGGGATGATTTGTACGATGTCGAAGAGGTGGAAGTCACGAACGAAGTTGTGCGAAAAGGAAGATCAAGTCCGTTCCCCAGTCTACTTTTACAAACAATTTTTGTAATTGGACACACAAATATAAATATATATATGTATTTTTCTTGTTGGGGAAGAAATGTTTAGTATGTAAGTAGTTATATATATTTATATCAATATTAGTAGTTATATATTCATCCAATAAACACTGCTGTGTTGACAGCCGTCTTGTGATACATCCGCCCCTCCCCTGTGTAAGCATATTTAACACTTTCCATGATCCTATCAACCTTCTTGATTATAACGGGTTTCCTCAAGTTCTATCCAGCCTGCTACCAGGATCATGCTATTTCCGCCTGAAGGGACTTGGAGCCTTCCGAGCCTACGAGATCGTTATAGTGGACCGGGCCTACTTCGAGAACTTGGATACCATCTAATAATTCCCTACGCTCTGCCCCGTAGAGGGCGAGCACGCTCAGAGTACGCGGAGTATGTATTCCCCGAGATGGCCGTGACCTGTCTGGATCTGTGACGTTTCATAATCCGGCTCTACACAAGTCGCCTCGAGTCGAGTCGCCTCATCCCTGGCACCGGCGGACTCGCTTCGCGTAACCTCCCAGCACGGATTGCCTAGACGTCGCCCGACAGCACACCCCTGACAGACGACAACGGGCTCAGGGTGCGTAGGAGCGCGCTCCGCACATCGTGAAGGGACGCAAGCTCGCAAGCTCGAGGACAGTCGGATTGTTATAATGAATAGACAAGCGGCGGCGACGGCGTACCTCTTCCAGATAGTACTCCGTCTGGATGGGATGGTGCCGGCGGCCGGGCGCCGGCGGCGGCGTGCCGGGGCGCAGGCGGGCCGCGGCCGCGCGCCGCGCCATGGCCCTCCGGCGCGTCCGCGCCGCGCGCGCCGCGAGGCTCTCGGCGCCGTCGCCCTGCAACGCCCACGTCGGAACCCAATGAAACTTTGCCATGCACCTTTCTGTTTTCCTTTGTTCAAGTTAGTTAAAACTATCTTTGCATAAATTACTAGGTATTGGGCTGGGACACAATGCAAGTGTAGATTTATTTTAACCTTTAATAAAGTTACTGTAAGGGCAGAATAGCGATGTTATAGCTCTGTCCTTGCGGGTTGTTACCTCGTGATCGCGGCACGGTAATCGTTATATAACCGTTGTTTTCGGAAGTGGATGGAATTAAAGAATGTTAAAAAGTGTAAAGGTAATGTTGTTTAGTTGTAAATAAAACGTGTAAAATAAAGTATTGTTCCTAAATGTTTAAGCTAATGTTAAATATTAAATGTTAATGTTATTGATGTTTATTGTTTAAGTGCTGGTTTAAAACACAACTAGCTTCAAAATACAATTAAATGTCATACTACGATTTACCAAGTCAACAAAATAATTAGAACTAGAATATGCTAGCTTACTACACTAAAATAAAACTAGATCTAGAACATGTCAACGCAGCATATCAAACTTCAATGATGTACGTAACCGTACAATTACTATCTAATCTGATCATCTAAATGTTAAAAACGACTTTGAAAACATAATTGTAACTATTTCATTAATTATTTGTATATAACTGTAATTTTGATTATTTTAATAGGAATTCTTTATAAATTATTTTAACTATTTTAGTAATTAAAATCTATTATATAAGAAATTCTTAATAATAAGTTTTAAGTAGTATGTGGCTGAATTGCAATTAAATATCTGCGTAGATAACATTTAAGTAAGCTCCTTGCTTGAACTTGAACCTGACCTATGTAAGCATGTATATGTATATGCTTCAATTTAAAAAAACCCCTTACCGACCATGGCTGAAATGGGAAGAAAAAAGGCCCGAGGGTTTATTTGGGCCATTATATGACGTTAGCCACCATGCTATTATATGTATATATATTTACGAGCAAGTGTAATGAAAAATACTATTGTGACTTTGTCTTTAGGTACCAACATAAGTCAGTCCAGTTTTTTTATTCCTCGTGTGGATGTTATGTGGACCACAAGTTTTCATGAAATAATACTAGATACATTCTTCTTAACACAAACCACATTTTCATTGATGTGAACTTTGACGCTAGCGTAAGTAGTATGTTAGTTTCCGTAAAGTTACCTCTTAAAGACACTCTCGGACCCAGATTGAATACCTATTATTGTTCTAATAGTATTTTTTTCCGTTCCGTGCTCCGTGGCACACCGCCACTGTTACTAGTACCTAAATTGGCATCCAATTGACGAAGTATAGAGGAATAGGCAAAGATGGTATTTAAGTTTCGGTGCAAAATAATTACATCTCCTCAAAAATAAAGCCAAATAGAAATTCCGCAAAATTTGACGAGAAAGAATGAAATATTTGATTGAGCTTTGTTCTGTCTACAAAATGCCGTTTCTCGAATCTCATTTCACCGTTCTCTGGTAGGGAAAGAAAACCCGGTTCACCTAAATCTCATTGATGCTGAGATAAAAAATGTTACCTAAACCTTTTCCAGTGAACTACTTCGACGAAAAATATGAACGTCGCTTATGTCTCGCTTATGACTCTGCTCCTAATCATTTTGAATGAGGAATGTAGAAATTTGCTGTTTGCCAAAATGTACGATATTGATATGGGTAATATAATAATATGATAAGTATCTATTCAATATTTTTTTAGCAATTGGTTATTTGGATCCCGTTTTTAATTATCCCCAATCTGTTTTTTCATGTACCTACCCACTTATGTATCAATGAGTCGCAAATAATTAAGCCCATTTTGATAAATAATAGTCAACGCCATCGCACGGTGATTCACGCTCCATACTAAGGCGGTCATAAATACGTAACTCCGAAATTATTATTATTTTTTTATTTTATTACGTTAAAATATGATTAGGTAAACGTAAATTAATAAAATTATACATTTTAAAAAATATTTGACAATATTTAGGTGTAAAAATGTCTCGCAGTAATTTTGTTTTTAGACGATGTATCTAAAACATTTTATACTGCGACTTTTAATGGTAAAACTGTGTAAATAATGATTATTTGTATTAACAATAACCACAAATGAATAAATTAAAACAATAAAAATACATAAAAAAGTTCATTTTACAAAATACAAACAAAACACAAATTATACCAAAATACATTAAATCTCAACAATATTAACTTTAAATACATAACAAGTCTAATACAGCTTTTGACAGTACACCTTTTTTTTTAACAGGTAACTTTCGTAGACCTGTTATGAAGGGATCTGAATGAAGAAGCAGCCTATTTACTAAATCTGTGTTGGTCACAATGCGACTCATTTTACGCGTATGATTTTTTCTAAAAGACTTGATGTATTTGTTAGTCGCTTCAGCTGCTTCTTCAGACAACTCTCCGATTGACAACAAACCGTAATCTATAACATTAGCACCATGAATTAGAACTTTGTGAACGGAAGCAGGCATGTTATACCACGGATACTCGGCAACTAACTGCCGAGCCGTCTCTAAAGCGAACTCTTCGAAGTTCGTCTTATTAATATTATATCCCGAATTTAAACATTGAAGGATGATCCAGCAACGATCTAGGAGATCCTTCTTGATCCCAGTAATTTCAGCGGAAATTTCTGAATTCGAGAAAAACCGCCTGGCTGTATTACCATCGTTTGATGTTCCGCTTCCGCCACTTTTAGGCTTATCCACTATAAGCCCTAATCTTTCTCTAAATTGAGTCTGAACATATGATTTTTTTGCAGCAACAAGCATTTTGTCATTAGCGGACCTAGCTTGCCATTTCCTAACATCTAACTTGTACGCGACATGAACAAAATATTCAAAAAAACGTATTAACGCGTGAAGAGGTGATAAACCAAATTCATATTTACTCTCATCGACTTCCTTATTTAAACATTCGTCAATTTTGTTCATTTCACTGGGCAAGGCGTTACAAATAAAACATTTTGATGAAGAAACACCACTAAGTGCATTACACACTTTACCATCTACCATAGTAAGTTGCAAACAATGAGTAATGCGATATTCGCGATCTTCTTCCTTGAAAACAGTAGGCTGCAAGTTCCTTATTTTATCTTTAAAATGAGCTTCTTCCTCAACTGACACTGCAGTCGATTCCTTCAAATATCGGAGGCGTATAGGACGACAGTATCGAGTTGATGAAGGACGAGGATTTTTCCACAAAACTACTGAATTTTCTTTGTTATCTGTTGTCAAAACAAGCTGAAGTGGCACATACGAAGTAACAAACAGGCTACTGTCTTCAAGAGTGGAGTCAGAAAAACACTGTTTATATTCTGAATGCCCTGTACTGCCATCGAAACCCCATTTCCCTATCAAAGATATCTTATCTAGAGACTCATTAGGTACACTATCCAAAACATCTTTTTGAGACTTGAGAATCCGATTGGCAGTATGATCTAATAAACTTTGAAGTTCGACTTCGGCGGATGATTCTGTAACAGTAATATCTGAAGGATAACAGTGTTTTTTAGATTCCACGACACTTTGGTAAGATGGGAAAATGGTTTTTGAAAACTTATTGTCTATAAATTTCTTTACTAATATATATTGATGTCGAGTTAACTGAGCTTCAACAATGAGCGATAAAACTTCGCTAGAATCGATTTCAGGACAAGACAAGCTATCGGACGCATTGAGCAATGACTGTACAAGAGAAGGGTCTTGGTTAGACAAACTAGCCAATCTTCTCCTTTTTGTACGTTTACTGGTGTCGTCAAAGTTAATTCTCGGACGGCCATGCGATGAAGAAGTTGATGGTTTAACTTCGTCAAAGCTCTGAGATACACGTAACTCAGTTCGCTGTACATCAATATTTTCAACGACATGCAGCCAATCTGAATATTTTTCTAAGAATTTAGATCTAGTACGATTCGACTTTGCCCAGTAGTGGGAAATTCGTTTACAAATATTCTTAATTTTAAGGCTTAAAGTCTCTAAATCAATATTTTCGATGTCGTCAGAAAGGGATGATGTTTCGGTCAAAGTGCTCAGGACGTGTTGCATTTTTTCATTTGGATTACCCACTTTAGAGTGCCAAATATCAAAAATTGTCATCCTCGATACAGAACATTTGAAAAATGTACCTAAAACAATATGAAAGCTGAACTTAAAAAAAAATTAAAAATTCAATACTATGGACATGCATACTTTGACACCCCTTTAAGCCAAGAAGAGGCAGCAAGATGCAAATGAAACTTATAGCTCTTAATAAGGACATACTCCTTATTCAAAAACCATATACCTCAGGTGCAGCTCAGCGCAGCCAAAAGTTGTAGGTCTAAAGGAAATTAAGTTATGCCAAAAATTTTCACCAAAAAACTGCCTTCAATAAAAAAATTATATAAAAAAAAAGTATGCATAAAAAAAATTAAAAAAAATTGATAATAAAAGTACATACCATGCTCTTGGATCTCCATGCTTTCACAACACGTAAACACTTGATTTGGAATAGTGACACTCAAAAACAAAGTGATTAAGTTTCGATGACTCACACGTGGTGATAATTAGTCTCGCGATGCGCTCACTTCCGATGCACAAAAGTGAATGATAACGTGACCTAATTACATTGATATTTATAGTTTTTGGAAGCTTGTTAACTAGTTACTAACTTAGTGAGTTGATCTAACCGGGATAAGCCAATGATTTTTTTTGATTTATGGCCTATGGGGGAATCACAGTGCATCGCCATAGAGTAGACTTGTGCCTGATTGGTCCTTAGTGGGGGCGATCCTAGTTAGTTCAATCGGTCAACTGAACTAGGTCGGTCTTCTAGTTGATTTAATTCATCTAGTTCCTTAGTTCGTCTTGTCCTTACTCGGACATTGAACGAACGCTCCAAACTAGTACTTTTATTCACATGAACTACTACGGACTTCTAGTATTATGAGGTCAATACTACACTGTACTAAATATTTAAAAATA